AATAATGAGCAAGATGAACCACTGGCCTAAGGCAGCTTCATATGCTGATATGCCTCGTGAGGTCAATCAGTTTTCCTCCGTGTTTCAAAAGAAATCTACAATCTTTAGCATGCTGGAGTTCCCACAAAGCAAGGCACGTCTCTCCTCTGAGAGTGGGACCGATTTCCCACAAGCCACTGCTCCGCCCTCGCTCTTCCCTTCCCTTCGATTTTAAGCGTCAATTTCCCACTACTGCACGGCAGCATTTTTGACCCACGGCATCCCCCAATTTCCCCCGTGTCTTCTCAGTCCTGTTTTTTGATGATCGAAAAGATGCGGGGGGAATCTGGTGAAGCTGTGGGTCAAAATGCGGCCGTGCAGCGAGTGGTGGGAAATTGACGAATACAATTGGGGGAAGGGAAGAGTGAGGGCGGCGCAGCTGCTTGTGGGAAATCGGTCTGGTTTGTCTTCCTTTTGGGGGGTGTCTTTGTTGAAAGAAAAATCGTGGATCTCAATCACTAGAAACAGCTGTTTGGGCACTGTGAGTTTATCGTCTGGTTGTCGGGAACGGGTCTGTCACTGCAGGCTTGCCTTGAAGTAACATACCTAGTCGGAACAGGACTTTCAACAGAGGGAGGGGCTGTGGGTCAGTGGTAGATCGTCTGCTTAGCATGGAGAAGGTCCTGGGTTCAATCCCTGGCATCACCAGTTAAAAGGATCAGGTAGGAGGTGGTGTGAAAGACTTCCGCCTGAGATCCTGGAGAGCCGCTGCCAGTCTGAGTAGACAAGACTGACTTTGATGGACCAGTGTTCCGATTCAGTATAAGGCAGTTTGGAGTAGTTTGGTGTAGTGGTTAGGAGCGCGGACTCTAATCTGGGAGAACCGGGTTTGATTCCCCACTCCTCCACTTGCACCTGCTGATGTGACCTTGGGTCAGTCACAGTTCTCTCAGAGCTGTTTTGTCAAGAGCAGTCCTCGAAAGAGCTCTCTCAGCCCCACCTACCTCACAGGGTGTCTGTTGTGGGGAGGGGAAGGGAAAGGAGATTGTAAGCCGCTCTGAGATTCCTTCAGGTAGTGAAGGGTGGGGTATAAATACAATCTCTTCTTCTCTCTTCAAGTGAACACGAATATTCCTCAGCAGCTCCTCCTTATTAGGAAGTGGTGACCTGATAGCCCTGTTGGGTATATTTCAGAGCTCGGGGAAGGTGAACCAGCTAAGGGTGTGTGTGTTTGTGTGTAAAGGAACAGCAGGTTGGAGTTTTGGAGTGTGTGGAAAGAGAAGCCAGGCCCGTAGCCAGAATTATGTGGCTTGTGGGGCAATTTTTTTTTTCCTGGTGGAGCTGCCATTATTTGTGGGGAGCACGTGGCCCGCTAATCAGGTCGAGGGCCCTTTAAATCTTGCAGGAGGGAGGGCGGGAGAGGGTGGCATGCCGCCTCCTTCTTCTCAAAAGCATTTAAAGGATCCATTTAAATTCTTTTGGGAAGAAGCGGGAGGCCCTTTAATGATGGGGGCTGGCCCTTTATGGAAGGGGGCGGAGCCCCCAATCGCCCCACCGTAGATCCGATCCAGAGAGAAGCGTACAGAGATCTGTGAATTTGGCTGAAATGCCCCAGGGCATGCTGTCTCTTACTCTCTTTCTTGGAATCCGACGTGGGGTGGTCCTTCTGCCACCTTGGAGGAGTGCCTCTTTGCCTTTACCTGCGTCCCTGTCATATATTTGTAAATAAAGCAAGTGTCACAACAACAATGCCCCCCCAAAAAAAACATCATAAGTTTCCAGTGCTGTGCCTCTGAAAGGAAGCCTGACTCTGCAGTGCTAGCCCAGAATTTGGGAGCTTCCTGGGAAAAGACAGTAATGCTAGGAGAAGTCAAGAAATTTCGGCCGAGGGGTGACATGATCGAGGTTTACAAGATCATGCATGCGATAGAGCTGGTAGAGAAAGAGGTACTTTTCTTCCTTTCTCACAATACAAGAACTCGTTGGGGTTCAATGGAACTGCTGAGCAGTCTGGTTAGAACAGATAAAAGGAAGTACGTCTTCACCCAAGAGTGATTAGCACATCGAATTTACTGCCACAGGAGGTGGTGGCAGCTATAAGCATGGGTGGCTTCAAGAGGGAATTAGATAAGCCTATGGAGCAGAGGTCCATCAGTGGCTATTAGCCACAAGGTATAGATAGGAACTCTCAGTCTGGGGCAAGTGATGCTCTGTATTCTTGGTGCTTGGGGGGGGGGGGGGTCAACAGTGGGAGGGCTTCTAGTGTCCTGGCCACACTGCTGGACCTCCTGATTTGTTGTTGTTCAGTCGCACAGTCGAGTCCGACTCTTTGCGACTCCATGGACCAGAAAACGCCAGGCCTTCCTGTCATCCGCCGTCCTCTGAAGTTGGCTCAATTTCATGTTCGTTGCATCGATGACACTGTCTAACCATCTCATCCTTTGCCGTCCCCGTCTTCTTTGACCTTCAATCTTTCCCAGCATCAGGGTCTTCCCCAGTGAGTGCTCCCTTCTCATTTGGTGGCCAAAGTATTTGAGCTTCAGTTTCATTATCTGGCCTTCCAGGGAACAGTCAGGGTTGATTTCTTTTAGCATTGACTGATTTGATCTTCTTGCAGTCCAAGGGACTCTCCAGTCTTCTCCAGCACCATAGTTCAAAAGAATCTATTCTTCGGCGCTCGGCCTTCCTTATGGTCCAACTCTCGCAGCCATACATGACTACTGGGAAGACCATTGCTTTGACCTCCTGATGGCCCCTTGTTTTTCTGGCCACTGTGTGACACAGTGTTGGACTGGATAGACCATTGGCCTGATCCAACATTGGCTTCTCTTGTGTTTTTATTTTCTTATGTTACTACAACAATGCCCCCCCCCCCCGAAAAAAAACCCCACCATAAGTTTCCAGTGCTGTGTCTCTGTAGTGGTAGCCCAGAATTTGGGAGCTCACTGAGAAAAGACAGTAATGCTAGGAGAAGTCGAAGGCAGCCGGAAAAGAGGAAGACCCGGCGTGAAATGGACGGACTTGAGCTTGAGCACTCCCAGGCTTCTAACCTCCGAGGCTGGCACCAAAGGTGTCCCGTATAAGCTTTAGTGGACTAGAGTCCAGTTCTCCAGGTGCGGCGAATGGCTCCTCACTGGGCAGACCGTTTGTGCAGGGGGTAGGAGCAAACACAGCCGTTTTAGGGAGCCGCAAAGCTCGGGGAAGCACGGGGTGGAAATGTAATTGGGTAGAGTTAAACTTTCATCAAGAAAACAGACGGAGGCTCTTCACTAGTTCTGCTAAGCCGGCTTGCGCCAAACCCGGTGTCGTCCTTAGCAACTTGTGTTGCCTAACTAAAACGTTAAAGGAAAGAACAATAAACCCGCTTTTATGAAGAGGCAAGCGGTTAATCCTGGGGAACAGCTCCTCTTAAAAGAAGTTTGACGTTCTTCCCGGGGTTTTGTGGGGCAGGCAAAGGCCTTGGCAGGCCGCCTAAGGCCCTGCCGTGTTCCTCTCCAGCCTTCAAAGCGTCGCTCGGCGATGCGTTCACAATTGAAACCCTGTTTGCGTCGCCGGGGAGCCCCGGTTCCGCTGAGCCAGCGATCCTTCCTCCGGCAGTGTTTCCCGTTTCCCCATCACATCCTCCGTGTGTGCAAGAGGAAGCCCTTCGCTGAATTAGAGCCCCGGAGTCAGTTACATATCAGTCGCCTCTGGGCGTGTAGGCAGACTTTGAATAAGGAACTGTACACAGCCCCGGAGAACTGAGACGGATTAGATTAAATGTGAAGTGACGCTTTCCGGCCCTCCGAAGGAACACCGCCGTCTTGCACTGCCTTCTCAGATCTAGCAATGCTGGTCGGAGCCTCTCCTTAAGGACTCCCGGCTTGTCACCTGAACGGCAGTGTTGGGCTATCGCCGAAGTTCCCACGGTCCCCTTCTAATGGGCATTTTTCTTCCTGGATGGGACCCTGAGGATCTGGAGGTAGCAGTTGGGGAATGCGACGGGGTGGAGAATAAGAACATAAGAGAAGCCAGTGTTGGATCAGGCCAATGGCCCATCCAGTCCAACACTCTGTGTCACACAGTGGCCAGAAATACCAGGTGCCATCAGGAGGTCCACCAGTGGGGCCAGGACACTAGAAGCCCTCCCACTGTTGCCTCCCCCCAGCACCAAGAATACAGAGCATCACTTGCCCCAGCCTGAGAGTTCCTATCTATACCTTGTGGCTAATGGCCCCTGATGGACCTCTGCTCCATCTGTTTCTCCAATTCCCTCTTGAAGCTGTCCATGCTTGTAGCTGCCACCACCTCCTGTGGCAGGGAATTCCAGGTGTTAATTGTTGTTGTATTGAACAGTGTAAGCCTCCCTGAGCCTGCGTGTGGGGAGGGCGGGGTATAAATCAAATCGATCAATAAATAATCACTCTTTGAGCGAAGAAGTATCAAACGTATCTGAAGAAGTGAGCAATGACTCACGAAAGCTCCTTCCCTGCCACAAATTTTGTTAGTCTTTAAACTACGGTGGCTCAAGTGGTTAAGACGCTGAACTGCAGGCTGTGGAAGGTCAGTAGTTCAGCAGTTCAAGACCCGAGTTGCCGCATGACGGAGTGAGCTCCCATCTCTAGTTCCAGCTCCTGCCCACCTAGCAGTTCGAAAGCAAGAAATTGCAAGTAGATAAATAGGTACCACTTCGGTGGGAAGGTAACAGCGTTCCGTGCGCCTTGGCGTTTAGTCATGCCGGCCACATGACCACGGAAATGTCTTCGGACAGCGCTGGCTCTTCGGCTTTGAAACGGAGATGAGCACCGCAACCCTAGAGTCGGACTCGACTGGCTTTCGAGCAAGGTAACCTTTACCTTTTTAAGGTGCTACTGGACTCTTACTCATTTCTGCCAAAATAGACGGGTGAAGGCCGAGGGGAGGTGTAGAGGTTGTGTGACAGTGCTTGAGTCTCCCCACCGGAGTGGTTCTCAGAATGACTACTGACCGACCTGAGGGAGCTGCCGCGTCTGTTTCCTCAGCTGTTTCTTTCCCTCACACAGCCTTCGAGGGTCCACCTCTTGGAGCCCAGTCCCTGACAGTGTGGAGGGCCCCGCTTTCTTCCGAGGAACCCTACAAATACAATATATGCCTCAAGACACTTTCCTGAAGCTCGAGGTAAGCCTTTGGTTATCGTGCAGAGATCTGAGGTGAAATAACGTTGCGGGGTCAAGGGTTTTGTTGGTGAGCGTGGTTATCAGACCAAGGCTGCATCCTGTCTTCAGTTACGAGCTTCTTCGCAAAAAGAGTGCGGTTATCCATCCCGACTGGGGATGTTCAAAAACATGTTCCCTTACATCTGTGCCTGTTTTCCCATACTCTGCTGTTGCTTGGTCAGGAAATGTATCCACCAGAGTGTATGTGTGTGATACGCAGGGCTTTTTTCCTGGGGGAACACGCCGGAACAGAGTTCCAGAGCCTCTTTGACAAAATCATTTTGGAAATGTTTAAAAACTCATGCGTTTTCAGTATACAGATTGAAAACTTCATTGCCCTCTTGAGAGTTCTGACCATGTTCAACTGTATTGCCCCCCAAAAAGCCCTGGCTGATGCGGACCTAAATTGTCATGCTGTCTCATGAGCACTGAAGATGGCTTAATTACCCATCATTTTAAAAAAAGAAAAGAATAGGCAGTGAACTAAGGCAGATCTCGTTCACTGTTCCAGTCGCACATGCGCTTCTCATCATTTGTAACAGACTGTGCGACATTTTCCCTGTGTGTTCTTTTTGAGGGGTGTGTGGGTGAAAATCTGTTGATGTGGATTTCAAGCCTGCTGCCTGCTCAGGACACTTACCTGCAATGAAGATGTTTATTTTTATTCTGGCACTGGGAGCGGGAAAGCAGGCACGGAGAGGGTGTTCCGGGTCACGGCACTCTTACGCTGTGGGCACCACTACAGCATAACTTGGCAAAATTGTTGAACATGGGCAGAATTAGAGAAGTACAAGTGGGCACCCACAAGAAACTTGCAGGGAGGGTGCATCCCTTCCCCCCCCCTTTGCTTCCTTCCTTTCTCCCCCCTCCCCATCAATCTCCCCCCCCTTTCTCATCCCCTCCACCTCTGTCAGTCTTCCTCACCTTTCTTTCTCCCCCTCTCCTTCTCTGTCAGTCTCTGCCCTCTTTCTTCCCCCCTCCCGTTATCTGTCTGCCTGCTCCCTATCTCTTTTGCCCCCACACCCCTTCTCCATCAATCTCCCCCTCCCTTTAATCTGCCAGCCTAACACCTCTCCCTTTTGGCCTCCCCCACCAGTGTATTTTTTAAAAGATGTCGGATCTTTCTTTGAACCTGGCCCCAATCTGCAGATTTAGCTATCCAAAGATGGGGAGCACACTTCAGAAATAGATACATAGATGTGGCAACCTCACTCTCCGCCATCTCCCTGGATTGTCTGGGCGATGGAGGCTAACCTGTCAACCAAACAAAAAGGGTGGCCATATTGGAGTGCTGAGATGTAGCGGCGGGCCTACTTACTGTCTCGCTGAAGCTCTACCCCTTGTCTGTTTTTCAGGGTTGGGAAAAGGGAGTTGTGTTCGTCAACGGACAGAACCTCGGTCGCTACTGGAAAATCGGCCCTCAAGAAACACTCTACCTCCCAAAGACATGGCTACACCAAGGAGACAATGAGGTCAGTCACGGATTATGAAGATCTTCCCCTTCTTTGTGTCAGCTGAAACCAGGTCTGTAGCTACAGTGGGGCATCTCGGGGCCTGGCCCCCTGACTTACCGCCAAGGCCCCCTGGCTTCCCATCCAGCCCAGGCGCTCCCTTGGGGGTGGGTACAGGGGTGTGTGCGGGTGCCCCCTGACTTATGTAAAGGCCCCCCGAATTAAAAAATCCTGGCTACGGGCCTGGCTGAAACACAACAGCGCTAGAGAATCACGGCTCATAATATCCAGAGAACAAGTGAAAAAAAGCCGTATGCATGGGCTAAATAATGCAAAAACGGTCCTATATTGCCAACAATTTTAACAATAGAATACAAAAATACAAGAATACAAGTGGAAGAGAGGTCCAAAACATAAAGTTGAGTTCATTAAGTTGAGCTGATGGAATTTTCCGGACTATCCAGTCGTTTCGAAGGTCTTCATCTGAGCTTGAGCTTCCTTCCACCTAGATGGCCCGTCTTCCATTGCAACTTTAACTCCGCACAGAAACTGTTGATTGCTTGCAGAATTAGGCTACATATAAACACTGAAGTATTGTATACATTGCTGTTCTTATTCAACAATGGATGGAAACTAGGAGACAACTGATATGCATGGAGCTGCCACTGAAAAGACCCCGGCCCTGGTTGCCACAAGCCTGGCCTCCCTGGGGCCTGGAATCACCACTCAATGTTGAGCCCCCGATCGAAGTGCTCTCTGGGGTATCAGTGGATCATAAGAGAATCCATGTTGGATCAGGCCAATGGCCCATCCATTCCAACACTCACACAGTGGCCAAAACCCAGGTGCCATCAAGTTATAAATAACGTGGAGGAAAACCTTTCCCTGCCTGAGACCCTGGAGAGCCACCTTCCCTAAGAGCAGAGAGAACCAAGCCAGATGGCCCATTGGTTTGTGGTATAAGGGAACTTCTTACACAGATAGCTGAGCCTTCATTATGCCAGGTTTTTGGCACCATGGCAGCTGACAGTGTTCTGGGGATTTCTTCTTCTTCCTTTTTTTTTGGGGGGGGGGTATTTTTTTGTATTTTGTGTCTGTGTCTGCACCTGGAAGTCATGTTGATCTCTGGTGACTGACCCCTACTGGGGGCTTGGAGGGTATTCAGAGAGGTAGCTGAATAAAGACCGCCTCTGTCCTCCCAACTTTGTATTCCAAGGAAGTCTCCCATCCAAGTACTAACCACAGTCGACCCTGCTTAGCTTCCGGGATCTGACGAGATCAGGCTTGCCTGGGGACTTCCGGCGGTGCGGCGCTGTGCTACGGTCGCGTCTCCAGGCAGCTCCTGGGGACGCCCGACTCACGACCGCTCTTACGGAGCCCCCCGAGGTTCGGGACGGCTCCGCTTGGTCTCCTGGAGGGAGACGAAGAGTATGAGGCTTGACTGCCCCCCCCCGTGTCCCTGGCAAGGACGGGGGGTGAACCGGTTTGCCCCGAAACAAGAGCGGCGCAGAGATAGGGAACATGGTTGCCGTGTTCCCTCCCAGCAGCGACCAGCCGTAATTTTAAATTCACTCTCTTGGGTTGAGCTCGAGTTTTTTTTTGTCTTTTTTCACTTTCACAAACCCCCCGAAGGATACTTTCACTCAACTGAACCGATCCTATTACGGAATACCCCTCTTCGTGTTATTGAGGATCTTTTTTCCCCATCGAAAAGAAGAAAAGCGGCCAGGAAGATTATAGGCAACGTGACGAGAGAGACCTTGGGGTAAGAACTAATGCCTGTTGGAATTATTAGAGACTAAATACGGATTAAAAAAAAAAAAAAACTTTGGAAAGATGCTTTGTTTGATTACTGCTTATTCACTGAATTGATAACACCTGGAGTTAGTGGACGTGAGGTTTTGGAAAATGGCGACCTCCGTTTGCAATGCGGTCCGGGAGGCAATAATATGCGAGCTCAGCTCTGCCAATTTCCAAAAAACATTGCAAGTGGAACTAAATAATGCGCTTGATCGAATATGGGATAACATTTTTGAGACTTTGAAATGCGCTCCTGACAATGACACGAGTGTAATTATTCAATCAAAAGAAAGTCTGGAAAGGAATGAATTACAACGGACTAAACAAGAGAGCGAGCAACAAGGCTGCCTTTCTGTTCTTAAAGAGACAGAGCCATCTAAACAGGACTCACAGATTAGGTCAGAAGAAATTGCATACAAAGTAGCTAAAGCAGGACTGAAAGAGAGACAAGTCAAGAAAGTTGGCTCACCAAACGAGCAGAGTAAGAAAGAAGGGAAGAAGAAAAGGAAAAGTAAAATAAAAAAAGGGCTAAGGAAAGAGAAAGGCTGTGATTTAAAAAAAACCTTGAATGGGGTCACACAAAAACCAGAAAAGGACAAAGAATACAGAGATCACCGGCATATGAATGAAAATGCAGACAATCAATGCAGAAAAGAAATGCAAAATAAAAACCAACATAGAGAAAATAAGATTGTTTTAATATATTGGATGTATATAATCCGTTTTATAGTCTGACTACTAGTGAATGGACAGGCAGAGGATATAGTTTTATTTGTGCAAAGTGAATATGAGTTATTTTTTGTCTGAAGTTTGGAAAGCATAAATAGATTAATGCAGCTAGTATATATGTGGGTGGTAGAATGCTAAAGCTCTAAATTAGCTAGGGATTCCTAGTAAAGATGAGTTGAATCTGGAAAGTTTTTGGAGATCATGAAGTAGAATTATATGGGACTCAACTAAACTGCAGAGTGACACTAACTCTGGTAAACAGTAAGCCGGAACTTTAGAGAAAAAGAAGGACTCCGACAGGATGGAAGTTTATAGTGTACATACTTTATTTAGAATTATAAAACAAATATAGATTTATGGGTTTATTTGTTGCTGATGAATTGGAGATCAGTGATAAAAGATGAAACTGGTTAAGGTGTTGTGGAAATGGAATGGCAAATCGGATTGGGGTGGGTTTTGTGTTTGTTGTATGTTGGTGATAATGTCTTTTTATTGCAAAATCTAATAAATTTTTTTTTTTTTTTTAAAGGCTTGCCTGGGCTACCCAGGTCAGGGCCTTGTGCTGGGGATTTCTTTGGGTGGACCACAATCCCTGACTTCCTCTCAAGAGACACTTTCACAATCTGAGCTTTCTCTCTACAGCAGTGGTGGCGAACCTATGGCACGGGTGCCAGAGGTGGCACTCAGAGCCCTCTCTGTGGGCACGCGTGCCATCGCCCCAGCCAGGCCTAGACCATCATTAAAGTGTGGAATTCTCTGCCAAATAATTTTAAGTCAATGAAAGCATTTGGGATTGCTTTCCTTACTTTGTTTGGATCATCTTAAATTAATGTATGAGTTGTTTTTTCTAAAGTAAAACCTCAGTATTCAGGTTAAATGGCCGTGTTGGCACTTTGCGATAAATAAGTGGGTTTTGGGTCGCAGTTTGGGCATCCTGAGATCCACCCCGGTCTCTAAAAGGTTCGCCATCACTGCTCTACAGTATTCTCGAGTCTTGAGCGGCTCGTAAATGAGTGTTCAGTAACTCATAAACTGCAGCCATAGCTGGCAAGCCGAGCAACACAACGGGCACAATTGAATGGCACCGCTGTTGTTCAATCGAAGCACCTCAGATCGCTGGTGCAGGATCACGTGCTTCAGTGCACCTTCGTGACGCAAACGGCTCTTCGCACATTGCAAAGATAACCCGTCGGGGAAGGGTTCTCCCTTTGCCTTATCCCGGCTAGTTTTTTTAGGTGCACGAGAGGTCTCGTTTCGTTTCGCTCAAATAATCCGAACAGCAGGGGTACGCTGTTTCGTTCTGTGGTCTCCCCAGAGGCGACTGTCTGGTTGGCTGCGGTGGGAAACCAGATGACGGAGTCAACGTGGATTGGAGCCACGGGTGCCATGCCCCATCAAACAAGGTCCCACCGAGCTGCTCTAAGGCTCTGTTAATGGAGGAAGGCCCATATTTGGCTTGTCTCCCCCACCACCACCAGTGCTGAAACTGGTTCTGAAGGCCCTTGTCAGCTGAGGAAATCCCCTCCTTCCTTAGAGTCTATTTCACTCACCTTCTCTCCCCACCCCAGCTGCTTTTTATCCTGTTTGCCTGTTAATGTTTTCATCTCAAGCCTTGCTTCCTGTGTTTCCACTCACAGAGGAGAAATGAGTGGGAACCAGAGACAGGGCATTCTCGGTGGTGGCTCCCTTTCTTTGGCATGCCCTCCCCCTTGAGGCCCACCAGGCGCTTCCCCTTATAGCATTTAGGTGCCCGGCTAAAATATATGTAGGCATTTAGCTGTTGTTAGATTTATTATCTTTGGCCTGTATTCCCCACTCAGTTGATGTTTTTCGTGACCTGCCTTTATGCTCCTAAAATTGTTTTGTGCCGTTGAAGTATTACTGGTTTAGTGATTATAGACTTGGAAGGTGTTTGGTTTTTTTTAATTGCTGTGGAGGGCTTGTTTTTATTGAATCGTTCTATTGTGTAAATTTGCATTTCCAAAATATATATTTTTACTTTTTCTTCCTATCGTCTGCTGCCTTGCACGGGTTTCTGGAGAGGCGGTATAAGACATAAATATATAAAATAAATAGTGGTGTGTCCCGGGGCCGGTCCCGGGGCCCAGGTTTCCTGTGTAGCTTGGCCTTTGACTGTTTGTTCTTTGGAACACCAGTTCAAGGAAAAGAAATGCATTCTGTCATTTTGTGGTGTGTGTCTTTTTTTTTTTTTTTAACCATATACCTTTCCATCCCGTTTCTCCTCCAGATTGTGATTTTCGAAGAACGTGTTGCAGGCCGGATAGTCCAGTCCGTGGACTTGCCTTTCTTAGGAAGGACCCACTACGTGGACTGAGCAGAGAGCCTCCGCGACTGCTCTGCCCCCCTCCCCGGCCCTCGATCGGTTCCTGTTCTGTGTTGTTTGTGGATATGCTTCGGAAACGAGTTTGAGTTTGGGGTCACCGGATCTGGATGCTGGCAGGGTCTGGTCTTCCTAAGCCAGATGGACATGCGGAACATGCCTCTTGCCAGTGAACCTGAGCAGCCGTCTCTGAATACTTGGAAGTGGTGATGAAGTCCAAAGCCTTTCTAGCAGAGCTCGCCGCTTCTGCGAGTCCTCTTCCCTCGGCTGTCGCAACGGTGCTGTGGATCTGATGAGCGAGGGGCGATCAGAGATCCGTCAGGTTTAAGAAGCTCATCTCAAGCCAACTGGGCGTGAATCGGACACCGAGTTTTTTGCAGCCGGAAGAGAGGGGGGGAAAAAGAACATTTGGTGCAATAGACCAACTGGGGTGTCCTGTGCTTTTCGAACAACGGCACCCACCTTTACTGTGAAGGAAAGGAAATCTCTTCTTCCATTCTTAGGTGCCTCGTTTGTTTAATCGATCCGGTTGGGTAGAAATGTAACTTCCACATTTTTGCATTAATCCTAACAAGTCGAGCAGCGGGATTTTTTACTGGTCAGAAAGCCCTCAAGGAGCCATTTTAATGTTGTGTTATACAAATGCTGGGGGGGGGGGAGGAAGGTGGGGGAGCATTTCCCTCGTTTTGAACGCTTTTCCCACGTGGGGGGAAAGAAAATCTTCCTTGCATGTCCTTAGCCTAGCAGGGAGAGCATGTTCCTAGCCTATCAGAGAGAACCATTCTCTCTTAAATACATGTCAAACAGGCTTTTTTCCTTTTTAATGTAGGCGACCATTCAAAATCTGACACATCCCTAGGGCATTTCATGATCCTGTCCGGGATCCTGTATGGGAGTACATCCCGTAGGGGGCAAGCATTTTCACTTATTCTGGAATGCCTGATAGGGATCCTGTTTCGGGGACCAGCTCAGCTGGGTCAGCCCTGAAGCTGCTGTAAGTCACCCTGACGGAGAGGGGATGCTTCTTGAGGGCACGTCCCACCCCCCTTCCTCCCTCCCTCCCTCCAAATTCCTAGCCTGAAATGACGCTTGCGGTGAAAGTAGGGCACAATCCTGTGTAATTTTTGACATTAGGTTGCTAATTCTTTTTTTTAAATGCTTTTTATTGGGGTTTTAAAAGGGGAAAGGAATGGAAAAGGAATCAGGGACGGTGTGTCCTCTCTCGCACACACATACACACAGAGGCTTCTGTTTCTGCTCCTTCAAAACCCTCCCGACAGCGAGCGAGCATCCCTCCCCGCCGCCGGGTTTCTTCTCAATGCAAACAGTGCCGATTCCCAGAGGCTCAAGATCTTCAAAAGCACAACTCAATGCCTCTTTGGAGAATATCGTGTTCCCCTCTTGCTAGAACAAGATTTTCTTCTCTCTCCTCCCCCCTCCCGCCCCCAGTCTTCCCACAGGGAGCTTTTAACTGGCTGTATTTCGTGGGTTCCCCTCTTCCCCCAGTACCCCGCCCTGCCCGCCTCCCACCCCTTCTGTAAAATTTTACTCCTGACCTTCCCGCAGCCGCTGGGGGTGACGCTGGCCAAACCTTCCGTGCCGAGAGTCCCTGGGCTAGCAGATGCACACCGGTGGTTAAAAACCATATTTAATTTTATTTAACAAATTAAATACAGTTGAATTAAAACTGGGAACACACCCCATCCTCCCACCCCGGACCAGGCATCTTCTGCCCACCGACCCCCCCCCCCTCAGAGGCTCGGAGCCCCAATGTGTTCCAGAGCAAAGGGCGGGTGCCCGGGTGGGTGCCCGAGGCAGAACCAAAAAACAAAAAGGGGGCGGGGTGGATCTCAGGATGCAGCCGTTGGATTGGATCTTTACGATTCGCTGCGATCTGGCCGGGTTATTGTTCTCGTCGATAAAACAAGACATGCAACTGGAAGAGGGCAGCCATGGGGAAGAACCCCTTGTATCGCAGGAACCCCGAGTCTTTCTGTTAACCAAAATTAACGCCTCGCTGTTCCCTGCTAAGAACTAGGCGGGGGAGGGGGGGGCATGTGTTCGAACGCTGCAGCCTCCTGCTCTGGAGCAAAATGCCCGCGTGCCTAAAGAGGTTCCCGATGTCCAATATCCACATTTTGTTGTAGTTCATGCTTCGGTTTGAATGCAGTTGCTTCCCCCAAATTGGTGATATGCTTTTTTCAGAGTTTGGAAGAAAAAGAGCCTTATCACAACAGGGAGGGGGTTGTGTTTTTTTGGGGGGGAGGGGGAAGTCTCCCCAAGTTTGATGAATGTGTCATAATTAAAAAAAAATCCAGCCCCCCACAAACGGTCTTATTATTACGACTATTATCAGGAAACGGAGGGAGCTCTGCTGTTAGTCCAAAGAGTGATTCGATTCCACACCGTCTGACGCATCGTCATTGCTACAGAAGTTAAGGGTTAAAAAAATAAGTGCATTTTTCATTCCTGTACAGGATTATGTTACTTTCCTATAGCTGGCAGGTATAGTTGTGCTTTAAACTTCCTTTTCCGTGTGTTTGGAGAGAGAGCCAGAAGATTGTGTGGGTCCATTCGATTGTTTGAATTTGGACCAGAACCTAGAGAGGCAATTTGAAAGGGGGGGGGGACAGGGGTCGAGGAACGGGTCAACCTTTGGTCTTTAATCTTCCAAGAGATTGACACCCGCTGTCTCCGAGAGACATTGGATTAATCTGCAAATCAGACACTAAAGGAGCCCCAACAGCCCACCAATCTCTCTGTGCAAGTGGCACTTTTAAAACTTTAGTGAGGGGGCATCGCCGCCGGTATGAAGAACAGTGTTCTCCTGTTCTTTAGCCGCTGATTGCTTGGCAGGATTGAATTGGAAGTGCCTGCACAGAATAGCTCAGTGAATGATCGGGTGTATCTCTGCAAAATCCGGCAAAAGCAGAAACGTTGTGCTGCTCTCTGGCACCAAGAGATCATAAGCTCTGGGTTGTTTCTGGACTCTATTCTTTGCCCAAGAACCTTTGCTTAAATGCTTTCCTGAATAACAGCTGCACCATCCCCTACTCCCCCACCCCCCAAGTGCGGTATAGATATCGGGGAGAGAAGGGTTCTATCCTAGCCACTGCCCTGCAACACTAGATTTCTTTGTGCGGGGATTTGGAGGGGTATGCTCCTTGGGGCAGGGGCAGTGGCTCAGTGGCAGAGCATCCGCTTGGCATGCAGGAAGGTCCCAGGTTCAATCCCCGGCATCTCCAGTTAAAAGATCTGGCAGTGGGTGATGTGAAAGACCTCTGCCTAAGGCCCTGGAGAGCCACTGCCAGTCTGGGTAGACAATACTGACTCTGATGGACGAAAGGTCTGATTCAGTATAAGGCTGTTTCATGCGTTCATGTGACTTGTGGTTTTTTTATTTGGTAAAGCCCCATGAATGTTGATGGCGCTGTGCAAATAATAAAATATCCGGGGCTGGAATTTGGCCTTGCCCCAACACCTGGCCCGAATCAGAAGACACCAGCAGCCGTTTTCTCTTCTGGCTTACTTGTTTGCACAGAAACTGCTCAGGGGAGGTTAGATTTCACACCACCACTATAATCTGGTCCAGTGTGGTTAGCAGCGTCCTAGGGCAGTCCCGAACAGGTTTACTCCTATTTAAGCCGAACAATTTCAATTACAATAGACTGGAGTAACCCTGCATAGGATTGCACTGTTAACTCGGTTGCCCCTGGGACTCACCTCTGCTTTCCAAAGGGCCAAGAGACTCCGGTTTGTTGACAACAGCCCTCCTTGGCTTGGCTCTAGGCTCAGATTCTCGGGGCGGTGCCGTTTGCAAATGAAATATCTGCAGGCAAGCCGAAATCGACTGAAGTCTGCTAGCCAAGAAGTCAGCCCACTTTCTTCTAACACCTGAGCCTCTGCCTCCCTCCCTCCCTCTCTCTCTCATCAGCCTGTCTCATAATTGACTCTGGTCCATTCTTCACCTCCAGCAGGCAGAGATAAGAGAACAGAGCAAAGCAGGTGCTTCCTGGCCTGCTTTCTTGGACATCTGCAGAGCTTAACTGTGGGGAGAAGGGCGGAGGGCCAAAGGAGGGCGGAGGGCCAATCTGTCACTGGGCCAAAGCTGGTCCCTCTCGAACTGGATGGGCGTCTCTCGTTTCAGCTCTCCTTACCTCGGGGACTAGCGAAGCAAGGGCCATCTCTGCTAGGGTCTGGCCCAAGCTGCCTTCTATTTAAGTCACATGGCACCATCGCTATATGTCTCGAGTGTGCGAGCAGCGTGCTCTGAGCCAGGAGTGTGTCAGCTTTGTGCTGGAAAATCACAGTTGTTTTCACCCAAGCGGTGTATCGCAGCCTTCTTCCGAGGTATGTCGAGGACTGTTTGCCGCGTTGCCCTGAAGCTCCCGCATGCTTGTGACCATTCTTAACTCCCGAAGGCATTACAAAAGGGGGAGGGCTAGCCACGTTGCACAGAATTCTTGACTCGGAATAATTCTACAGGGCCTCTCTATAAGCATGCAGGTACTCATACACTGTTGAGCGCTTCCCCCTCCCAAAGGGAAAACATTCCTGCATGTAATATAGCAAGCACAGTGGAGAGAAGGGTTTAGCAGCGTCTTCTCCATGAGTTGCTAGTCTACTACATGCAGGGAGACTTTGCATGAGGGAAAATATTGGAAAATAGGATGCTCTTCTGCAGTCTGAAAAGGTTCGGACTAGACTGCACATGCCAGCTAATGTGTCAATTGCTGTGCTTGCACCCGTGGATGTTCATTTCCCCCCCACCCCTTTATACTGAGGGAACATGACGTAAGACCAGAGGTCCCTGACGTGTCCGGGGGAGACGTGGTGCCTGCTGACACCTTTCCCGGCACCCCCGAGTGTTTTTAGAAAGTGGGCGGGCCCAGATGAGACTTTTGCCCAGCAAGACTTCGGATTGGCTGTTGGAGACTTGATTGGCTGTGCAGATTTTTAAATATGCTGCTTTGGCAGCCTTTATCACCACAGCACAAAGATCTTCACTGTGTGACCAAAGGTATGCTATAGCAGCTATTTTGGGGCTGGCTCCACCTCCCGCAACAGCCATTTTGGGGCAGCCATTTTGGGGCTGTGCCCACCACATTGTGTGAGAATTCCGAAGGTGCCCACAAGCTCAGAAGGGTTGGCGACCCCTGCTTAAGAACATTCCTGAGGGGACCTGTTGCCTATAGCAGATTGCTTTTCAGTAGGGCTCTGAAGACAGCAGGTTTCACGAATTTGCATCCCTGGTTTCGGCCTCTGCCTGCATGACCCAAATGATTTTTCAGCAGTCCTGTCGAGGTTGCAACACTGTCTGGGTCCAAAGGCCATGTATTCAAAACCAATCGTATATGCCCTGCAACATCTCGGCAGGGAAACGGGTGATACAAGGGAACCCTACCGCATTCCTGTTTTGCTTTTCTGTATCCCGGAACGTCGGGGCAAAGCCAAAACTACTTTCAGCCAAGTTCCC